CCTTTATCAGGATTGTTACTAGGGACAGGTCGCTTCCCTCCTCCATCCTCCCCTGGGAGGGGCAGCTGGTTCACCCTGACTCACCACCAGGCAGGTGGGAGGCGGAGGAGAAGGACAGGGCTCCAGTAATTGGTGTTTTGCAGCCTTTGGAAGAACTTTCTAGAACTCTCCTTTAGCGCCACAACTCTGTCTTACTTTCCCTCAGACTGTGTGCTTTGGGGATAAGGCCTGTGTCTCTTTTCCCTCTCGCGTTTAGTGTTAGTTGAAAGAATAAGTGGTCGGTCGCTTGGGCAGACCTTACCAGGCCCCTGCACGCATGTCCTGGTCTGTCTACAAGTCCCCTGGGTCCCTCACTTGTTCCCAGAACTTAACAGCTGCCACTGGGAAGCCCTTAGCTGTTCCTCATGCTCACAGCCAGCTGCTAAAGAGAACAGACTCATGGCAGCCTTACTCCTTGTTGGATCAAAAGAGATCCCCTTCCCACTGCTGACCTTGAACAAGTCATTGACCAATATGGACTCCAGTTGCCTAATAGGGAAAAGAAAAAACAGGGTGATTACATTGAATACCTATATAGTCTGAAGTCAGGTGGTTGGACCGGGTTGTGAATTGAGGCTCTTCCCTGCTACACACAAAAGGTACCATTATGGCAGACCCCGTAACCTCTTATCATCTCATTTAAACCTCCCAGCCACCTTGAGGTGAATCTTCATTTTATAGATGAGGAAACTGGGGCTCACCCGACATCACCACGTGGCAGAGCTGGGATTAGAATGCAGGCTCACCGGCCCCGGAGCCTGTGCTTGCTTTAGGCTGCTGCGCACTCCTCTCTCCTCGCTCTTTCTCTCTACACAACAGCGTCTCCTTTCAAGGTGCCTTTGAGAAACAGGGATAGACACCTCCAGGAAAGCCACACCGCAGGACTAGCCAAACCCCAATCACAAGTCAGTCAGAATCACAGACATCCCGACACCACTCTCCTCGCCTCCTGCCCGCTCCCTTCTCGGGGGCCCTCTCCACCCCTGCTGAGAGCTGCTGTGCAGTCGTGCAGGTGCCTGTTGGAGTGTAGACTCCCTGGCTTCACCCTAGGGACCAGTTTTCCAGGCCTGAGAGGCAGCCCAGGTTCTTGCATTTTTAATCACAACCCCAGGTGCTGAGCTAAGCTTGTGGGGAGTCCAGCCCCACCTCCCGGATCCTCTGCTTTCTACGCTTCATGTGTTCTTGGCCTCCCCGCATGTGCCAGGCATCACACACAGATGCCATCTGGCCTGCTAAGCCCAGCGCCTCTGGGAGGAGGCCTCGGCACCTGCATGTTGCTGCTGGTGGCTACAGCCTGGTGCCCAGTGAGTCAAGGCCACCTGACTCCCAGTCCCCTCAGCATCCTGTTGGGGCTCCAGTGAGGACCTGCACTTACTCCCAGAACTCGCCTCTGTGGTTTTCTCCCAGAGAAGAGGAAAACGGAGGCCGCGACAGTGAGCCCCAGAGCTCACACCGTCTCAGGGCTCTGCTCTTATGGAGGGTCAGGAGAGCCCATAGTCCTGTCCGTCCATGGAGAGCCAAGGATGTTGTTCACTGCGGGCTTCAGCTGCCAGCCTGCCCCTGCCCCGGCCCAGACAGGAAGAACAGTACCTGGAGTTGAGCTGGCCAAGGACCATGCCAAGGCTGCTCTGCCCACTGCACCAGTTGTCTTTTCTGGAATTTCACAAGTCTAGTTGCCCAATAACAGGCCCCACCCATCCATCACCACTTCCCAGTTGCTCTAGAGCCAGGTCTGGTCTTCCTTGCAGGGCCTGTGGTTGGTGGAGGGATGGTGTGGTTTGGCTTTCCCATGGAAATGAGCTCTTTCTCCCAGGCCCTAGGCCAGGGTGGCAGTGCTCCGGGAGCACCAGGTCAGCCAGTCCCCTTCCAGGAGGATGGCATGAGGGGCCATCATCCAAGAGACCGACAGCGGAACCCATCTGTGCATGGGAGATTTGAGGTCCAGGTATTTGAGCAGAGCAAATGAATTTGGCCTCTTTTGACTGGTGGAAAGTTCTGCTTTTGGCAGTTACTTATTGAGCAGAGGTTCATGTGATGGGCAGCATGCTAGGAGGGTGAGGCACACAGGTCCTGCCTTGCAGTGCCCAATTAATGCAGCAGCTCATAAACCTAGTGTGCCTAAAAGTCACCTGTCTCTTCCCCATTTACTCCCTTGCACCACACCCCCATGCACTTTTCTGTCACCCCAGTCCACACCGTCTCAATCACACCGTTGCAGCCACCCTGCCATCAGCCCACAGCCACTCGCCCAGTTCCCTCAACAGCAGCCATCATGACCTTAAAATGACAGCGGTCTCTACTGAAATTCCCCGCTTGGAATGTTCTTTCCACTGCCCTTTTCCTGGCCAGCGCCTGTCATTGAAGCCATTGTATCAGCTTAAATTTTTCTACTAGTCAGAGAAAGCCAACTCTTATAAGACGCAACCCTCCAAGTCTCTGTGGGTTAACACA